GTGCCGGCGTGCTGCGAGCCGAAGTTCTCCACGGAGCGGTAGAGGACGAACGAGTCGGTGACGAGCTTGACGCGGTGCCGCACCGAGTTGCACGCCAGCGGCAGGCCCAGCGCGCCCGCGGTGCCCAGCGCGCCCACCTGCGGGCAGGCGGGCAGTCCCGGCGCGCGCGCCCGTCAGCTGGGTGGCCCACCTCCCGGGCGCCCGCCGCCGCCGCGCCCTCCCACCTGGTCCGCGGTGAGCTCGTACTGGCGCGCGGCCGACTCCAGGACCAGCGGCCGCAGCTCCGGGACGACCTTGTCGACGTCCCCCAGGCGTGTGTTGACCTCCTGTAGGGGAGAGGTTGATCAAGAGGAACCTCGGCTTGGGCAGCGGACACAGCTTAATCCACTACAGCACTCCGCACGCTTCTGCACCACCGTGTTCTGCACTAACGTAGAGCTTGTCCTGGGCGCAGTTGCACAGGAGGAACACGAGCGAGTCGAAGCTCAGCGTGATGAACGAGGCCAGAAACTCGAGAAAGTTGGCCAGGTTCCCTTTCCTTTGCGCATGCCATATGAGAGCCTTCGAGGAAAGAAATCACACATTGCAATAACGCGTTAGAATCACGGCCATAAGCTGCAAGGCTGCCACAATGTCCGACTGACGTGCTTGGCGACGAGCCCGACGGCCATGGTGCTGCAGGCCACGACGAACCAGCCGTTGAAGCGCAGGGGCGGCATGAACAGCCCGGCCACGTGCGGCGAGAGGCGGCGGAAGTTGACGGCGCTGTTGATGAGCACCACCACGGGCTGGATGGCCGTCATGATGGTCGAGCTGATGAACGACACCGTGGAGATGGTGCTGGAGCGAAACAGAGAGAAGCCGTTGAAGCGAGAACGTTCGTGTTGACGCTTGGCGTTCCCTCCCGAGGCGCGCGCGCTTCCCACCTGAAGCCCTTGATGTACTCCCTGGCGTTCTTGAGCAGCAGGTACTGGTTGCCCAGCGTGACGGACACGGACGTGCACCACCAGGTGAGGAACAGGACGTAGCGGAGGGCGGGCAGGCGGCGCACGGGCGGCGGCGGCACCAGCGCGGACCACTCGCACAGGCGCAGCGAGAACAGCAGGCACCACCGCGACGCGCGCGACCTGCAGGCAGCCGCAGCAGCCGCAGCGACACGGAAAAGGATTACGTCGCAGTGACTCCAACTCTTTCGCTCTACAAAAGTGTCATTTTGACGTCCATATTTGCGGCAGCCAGGCATTCGTGACGATCCCGGACCTGGTGGCGGCGTAGATGAGCCAGATGGCGTCGCTGGCCTCGACGTGTGCGCGCACCCGGGCCAGCACCATGTCTCGCGGGAACCACCGCGGGCCTGGCCCGGTCGCGGGGCCCAACGCACTGGCCGTGTAATTACTGTAATGGTCGCACAGGCCCGTCGCGGCCCC